CGCTACCAGGTAAGCTGAAAACCGGCACTAAACGACAGAAAAAAAAGCATGACGCATCCAGCATTTTTCTTGAGGAAAAGAGGGAAGGGCAAGAAAGAATGCCATAATTACTAGGAAGCCAAAATTAACAGGTCGCACAACTTCACAGCAAACCACGTAGAACCCAATGAGGCTAAAGTACGATATGATCAAGCAGCGGCTGATTCAAAATAACTGCATAAACTGGTAGCATGGTTCTCTCTTTGTTCTCTCTTTCTCCGATTTCTCTTCCTCTTGCATATCTGTCTTGCAAATTAGTCACATGACTGTTCAGTACATGGTGGGTAGGAGGCTGTACTGATGATTTCCGCTTCTACCGGCATGTAGAGCTTGGTCAGTGTTTACAGCTGAGGGATGAAACACAGATAGACTGCATCGTAAAATGTCTTCTTACACATGATACTTAAGTCCAATCCCTCTATTCTACTATTTTCTCCACCTCTTTAAATAACTTTTTCAGTTACTTTGAGCAGTGCTACATCACTTGTTGGTCAGCCTGCTGCTGCTACTGATCTCAGATTTTTTTTTAAAGTAGCAAAGATAAAAAAAAAACTTTAGACCTGGTAAGCAAGTCTGGAGAAAGCACATGCACTGAGTACACTGAATGGCTCACTGCGCCGGCCATCGGCAAGTAATGCGCCAAAGCCGAACGAATTGTCAACCGGGGAAACAGAAAGCGCCGCCAGTCGGTGAGCCGGCTTACGATGATTTCCAGCATTCCTACCAAAAAAAGAAAAAGATAAAAACCGATAAATCACTCGAAAGAGAGATCATAGACTTCTGCGCAAAGCTGAAGATGTGTGACAACGATGCATCGCCGATGGGGCAGTATACAGGTAAAAATTAACAAAGCAGTAGTAATAATCTGAGTTATGGCTTTTTGAGTAATTTAATAAAAACTTATGGTTAATTCGAATTAAAAAAGTTAATTAATTCGAAGTGAAGAAGAAATTTCTAGCCAATTTTAACATTACTGTACGATTCGCGATTTTCAACTTTGGTTTCGGAAGGCTTCCGCATCCAAAATCTGGATGCCCTTGAACATTTCCTACATAATTATCGCCTGGCATATCCCCAGTCAAAGTGACACCGACAAAAGCCAGGTAATCATCGTCATCCATGCCTCAGAAAAATCCTGTACTTGGGCCAGACCTCTCCTGGAAACCTACAAAAGCCACAGACACCGAATTTTGTCCAGGGGAGCTCGTAAAATAACCATCAAAACTCGACGACTGCTAAAACTCGACCTAGTTTGGTTTGCGTTTTGCACGAATTGCGAAGATTTTTCCGTGGTGATGATGGGTAGAGTTACCCTACGAGTGAGTGACGGGAATTCGGATGGGGCAAGTGGGGAGGGAGGGTGGTGTGTTGCTGGTTTCGTTCGAGGCAAGAGGGAGGAGGCTGGGACAGGTGAATTTAGTGGCGTAGATCCCCTTTCAGCTGGCTAAGTCACGTACATTCGGAGAGGAAACGGGAAATTGGGTGGTGAGTGGGAAGGAGAAGGAAGTGTGCTGCTGGCTTTTGCCGCGAATACCTCGGAGTAGGAAAAAGGCTGAAATATTGCTTGCTTCCAGAGTGCTCTTATAGTGGGGATGGAGAGGAGCTCCGATGTTGCTTTGCATGCAGGATTTGGGAATAGAGTGGAAAAGGGGGACGAGGATAAAGGTCGAGAGCCCGGGGCAAGAACTGGAGACAGCAGTAAAGAGGAAGAGACGATAGCAGCACTACAAAGAAAAGTAAAGCA